GCACCAAGAGCTTGTAACACTCCAAAGAGAAAGGAAAAATTGAAATCGCATCATATGACCCCTTTAATGTACATAACAAGACAGGGAACAACCAACAATGTAAGACACTTCCATTGAGACAAACACAGAGTTTACATTAAAGAAGTAGAAGAAAGAAAAAAAAACCATCAAAAATAAATAAACGGAGCAAGGATGAAAACAAAGATGTAGTCGATGTAGACATTATAAAGAAAAAAAATATATACTAAAATAATAAATAATTTGACAAAGAGAAGCATAACTTTTCAGATCTTCTATTATGTTTTTTGAAGCATTTGAAGCTCTGAAACATTTTAGCAAACTCAAATAAAAATATATTGAAGGAGGGTTTACTTTTTTCCATTTACAAGTATGGATATGATATTTACCCATCAACAAAACAAAATTGATGAATCAGAGAAGGATGAATTTAAATCACACTTAAAAAAGAGGACATCTTGTTGGGTTATAGGAGGAATTGTCTCCATTTTTACTGACAACCAACTATGTATATCGAACCAAAATTTAGAAGAAGCCTCACAGTAAAAGAAAAGGTGATCAAGTGTTTCAGGAAATGAAGAACAGAAACCACAAGGATCCACCTCGAAATGAAATCGTTTTTGTATAAAGTCACTAACTGGGTAAATCCTAAACATAATTTTGTAATGAGTCTCCTTTTCAAAAATAAATGTTTGCTAGTGCGATCCTTGAATTACATAATTTATTCTGACTAAAACCAGTGGACACATTATAATAAAACAGAAATCTTACCTTTCTTCGATCCACTAAGCTTTCCGAGCACGAGACACAGGAAGAATGAATAGACCAAGAGGAGGAGCACCGTAGCCTATTTCCTTCACAGATGTGAAATTCACTGCTGTACGAATATAAGTTTTAAGCACATTCGATAAAACTGAATTATAATTTCAAACTTTAATCGTTAGGCATTTTCAAAGTTAGATTTGTCTGCTAAAAGAAGAAAAAAAAAAAAGACAAATGCATCACACACGTCAGTATTTAAAGAGATTTGCTAAATGCATTTACAGTTGATAATCATTTGTATTCCGCCGGCTCACACCTAAGGTTTTATTTATGTCCATGTTGATAGTATGAAATATTGTTTCATAGAAGTTAATGGCTACCAAAAAATCAGATTATTGCAGTGTATAACCGGAAGAATAGGCTACTAGCATCAAGAGTACAAATGCATCGCAATGGAGTAGCCCGTATGTTTCTTACCAAATTTTTCTGAGCAATCCACACAGCAAGAATACCCCTACAGCATATGATCTGAAATTATATAAGGCGTGTAATTGCGCAAACGTTTCCTCTGGACGGAAAACGGAACCGAAAAGCAGAGCGAGCTCCACGGCTCCACCCAAGAAATGCGTTCACTTTCGCTGCCATTAATCACCATAGTGACGAGTTAAGAGGTACATAAATATTTACCATAGTTCTTTTAATTTTATACCTGATCATTGACAACATTTACTAATCAAGCGCAACCCCACTCATGAACACAATCAGGAACAGGAAGTACGCACTTATCTCTTAAAAACTTAAACCTTGTATTTTCACGACTTCCGCGATGCTTTTTCATGGCATTCCCTGTGGGTCTTTTCATATAGGTAATATCATGTATGTTTCTCAACTTATAGGCTATAATCAATCTCTGGCCTTGCCACTTCAAAGGGCCCTTCGGATTGAAGGATTTCGAAGGTTAACGCCTGTTAACAATTTTTGGTTCGGCAGTGGCTATTTGCACCAAGTGTAAATAGCGATAGAGGCTATTTACACTAAGTGCAAATAGCAGTATTTTTAAACAATATGCTATTTCCACTAAGTGCAGATAGCAATAGATTCTATTTAGGCCTACACTATGTTAAAATAGCAGGATTTCTGCTATTTATAGTACTTATTGCAAATAGTGGCAATTATCTGCACCTCAGTATTACAGTACATTATAAAACAGTATGCAATAATAACGTATTGAGTGTAAATTATAATTTTAATTAAAAATATTAAATGGATGCCACCTTATTCGGACAATAAAGCCCTCCCTACACCTACCCGATACTTTCATTTCAACTTTTTGATTATTTCCTTCATTTTTATTGAAAATAAATGCCTTTTCGATGTGATATGAGATTTGAAAAGATAGAAAAAAAAAGTTTGTCAAAAGGCGGATTTGAACCCAGGTCGATCGCGTCAAAAAGACTATGGTTGGTTCTGTACCATCTACGCCACTAAAGCTGATGACTGATAGGCGTCTTTGTAGTGTTGACTTTCTCCATCACACGTTTGTGGGTGGAGTTAGTGTAAATTGCCTCTTCCAACAAGGCAGGCTATTTGCACTTAGTGTAAATAAACACTCCGTTTTGGGCACCCAGAACGCTCCCTGTTGGTTAGCCAGGAAAGTTTTCTTAACGTAAATAGAACGTTCCCTTTTAGGTTAGGGGAACTTTCCGGGAACCTTCTTCCCAGAACGTTCTCCTAACACCGTGTCTACACCGGACGCGAGTGACAAAATACAATAGAACCTATTATGCTGTCTACACTGAATGCGGTGCGACAAATTCCCGACAGTAAACTGCTGCTGCGTTATATTTATGACGTACTAACACAAATTTCAAATGATTTTCAACGTTTGCTTTGTCGCGTCCAGTGTAGACAGACTTTAGCTGTTGCGGCACGGCGCGGTGCGACATGGCAACTGTCGCGTCCGGTGTAGACACGGTGTAACGTCTCCGGTTACTTACGTAACCTCGGTTCCCTGAAAGGAGGGAATGAGAGACTGCGTAGCTTACGCTTGGGGTTATCCCCCTCCTCCTAAAATACTGAAGCCTTATTGCATCACGCCGGTAAATCTTACCGGCCAATGATGCTCGAGTGCTCGAGCTAGGGACGGAGCCACCCACTAAATATATATGTCCAGCGTCATTGCCTCAGAATCTTTCGACTGTTCGAATAGGTACAAGACTCTGAGGATTACAACACAGCAGCGCGCACAGTGTCTCGTTCCCTCCTTTCAGGGAACCGAGGTTACGTACGTAACCGGAGACGTTCCCTATCAAGTTCGGTCTCTCGACACTGTGTAGCTTATGCTTGGGGAACGCGTACAATCCCGCTGTGTTGTATTCCACACACCTTGTGAGAAGAGTCTAATGAGCCAGACCCAATAGAGCCGAGCCCGTTAACTGCTTCATAGAACGCTCAGGGAAACCAACGCCCTCCAGCTCTAGTCGAGCGGGACTAAGCACAATAATAAAGCACAACACTACACATGGACTGGCCGCAGCGCTGCTGGAGCCACGTACATATACAGCATTTACCACTTGATACATAAGTAAAACAGCGCACCTACCGCGGTCGACAACAGCTTGAACGCATGTAGAGAGCCGCTGACTATATTTATCTATTATAGGCATGTCTTGGGTCTACCGGACCTAGTCGAAACCACTCTGATTGTCTGGGGGGGCGTGGCCAGGAGCAGGCAGCAGCCAACTGCCAAGCTGTAGATACATCACTGCACAGACAGAATGAGCGGTGCGAATGACGGAATCTCCAGGTTGTAAAATCTAGCAAAAGTGTCTTGTGAAGACCATCCTGCTGCCAGACAAATATCCTGAATCGACATACCTTTTTGCCCAACCCCACGACGAAGCCATTTTTCGTGTGGAGTGGGCGTGTACTCCCCACGGACAGGTCTCATTCTTAGAAGCATATGCCAATGCGATCGCTTCCACAATCCAATGTGACAGCCGCTGTTTTGACACTGGCAGTCCCTTGGTACGGCCACCGAAACATATAAACAGCTGTTCTGCCTGTCTGAAATGACTAGTCCTCTCCAGATAAACTCGCAGAGCATGGACTGGGCATAGCAGGTGTGTCGCTGACTCTGAATCCTGAGGAGCAAACGCCTGAAGCGTGATGACCTGCTCTCTAAATGACGTAGAAAGCACTTTAGGCACATACCCCCGTCTAGGCTGCAGTCTAGCCATACAGTCATCCTTACCGAACTCCATACACGCAGTGTTCGTAGACAGTGCATGTAAGTCGCCCACCCTCTTACCACATGCCAAAGCGAGCAAGAGCGCTGTCTTGAACGAGAGCACTTTCAACTCTGCCGAAAGCAGCGGCTCAAAGGGTGACTCAGAGAGTGAGCATCTGCCCTCCGCGCTGACCTGCCAAACATACAGGTTCCATAGCTCCGGCCTGGGGTGCCACACCGAGCCCTTTGCCTGAGATAAGAGATCTCTCCGTTACGGAATCGGCCATGGGGGAGCCGTTAGAAGCTCTACCAACTCCGGGAACCATGGCTGGTTGAGCCAATTCGGCGCAACCAGAAGCACCGTCCCCCTTTCCTCTCTGATTTTCTGCAGCACTAGCGGCATAATCTGCAATGGGTGAAAAGCATATTTGCGCTTCTTGGGCCAGTGACACGAAAGAGCATCCCCCTCCAGAGGCGCGTTCGTCAGCGAGAAGAACAGCTGGCAATGCACGTTCTCCTCTGAGGTAAACAAGTCGATCTCCGCCTCTCCGAACAGGATCCAAATCAGCTGAATGGTCTGCGGGTGCAGCCTCCATTCCCCGTGAACTGGACCACCCCTGGACAGCATGTCCCCGCCGCAGTTCTGACTGCCGGGAACATGAACTGCTCGAATCGACAGAAAGTTTCTGTCCGCCCAAAGGAGGAAACGTTCCGCCAGCCTTTGAAGTGAGCGTGAACGAATACCTCCCTGATGGTTGATATAGGATACCACTGTCATGTTGTCTGTCCGAACCAGGACATGTCGATCCTTTATCAGTGGAAGAAAGCCTTGCAAAGCTAAAAATACTGCCTTCAGCTCTAGACAGTTTATATGCCACTTTGCTTGCGCACTCATCCAAGTGCCATAAGCCAGTCTGCCATCGCAAAGGGCTAGCCAGCCCGTCAATGATGCATCCGTAGTAGGGTTGGGCCGATAGACGATGCCATCGTCCATCGCCGATGGTTGATAGACATAGACATACCCCCCCCATACCCCCGCAATCTGCCGCATCCCAATACCGTGTTCGGAAAGAAAATGACGTGTATACGGAACCCCTAAAGGGAATAAATACGAGATGGGAGGAAAATATATATTTCAATATTTTCTCTCGCAGTTATATGATTGGGTAATTATACTACATATATATTTCGGGCATCAGGGAGCCGCTATTATACCTGGCATTGAAACTGCTTTTGAATGCACAATCATTTTTTAGTTTCACTTTCACTTTCGAGATTCGTGATCGCATGTACTCTGTTTATACTATGGAGTGGCAGTACTTACCACACATTAGATGTTTGTCAGTGGTGCTGAGGATCTGCAAATCATTCGCCATCATCCTCAGTCATCTCTCCTTACTCTGTTTATGTGGTAAGTGAAATTTTATGTACTGTAATGTAACAAGCTACTGCTAGCAAGCTGCTAACCATGTCCCTTTAGTGGCTCCGTAGAACGCTTTATTCGTTTTCTGTGCCTTTCCGAATACAGATTCACTATTCGGGCACATCCTTAATCTTGTCATATGTGCTGAATATTACATGAACTTTCATTAGAGGTATGTAACACCATATCTCTGCATTTTATCTCACAGGGTCCCTCAGGGCCACCTGGGAGCCAAGGACCTCCTGGACAGCCAGGAGCACCAGTATGTATGAGTGTGGTGTGCGTGAGGGTGATGTTGCTTACAATTCTGTGTGTGTTCATAGTCCAGCACTCATGTCTCTTTCAGGGTCTGGATGGAGAGCCAGTGAGCGTGAACGAATACCTCCCTGATGGTTGATATAGGATACCACTGTCATGTTGTCTGTCCGAACCAGGACATGTCGATCCTTTATCAGTGGAAGAAAGCCTTGCAAAGCTAAAAATACTGCCTTCAGCTCTAGACAGTTTATATGCCACTTCGCTTGCACACGCTTGCACTAAGTGCCATAAGCCAGTCTGCCATCGCAAAGGGCTAGCCAGCCCGTCAATGATGCATCCGTAGTAGGGTTGGGCCGATAGACGATGCCATCGTCCATCGCCGATGGTTGATAGACATAGACATACCCCCCCCATACCCCCGCAATCTGCCGCATCCCAATACCGTGTTCGGAAAGAAAATGACGTGTATACGGAACCCCTACATTTTTTAGTTTCACTTTCACTTTCGAGATTCGTGATCGCATGTACTCTGTTTATACTATGGAGTGGCAGTACTTACCACACATTAGATGTTTGTCAGTGGTGCTGAGGATCTGCAAATCATTCGCCATCATCCATAGATCAGTGGTTCTATAGTATTTTGTCGCTCCGTGCCGCTCGCATCCAGTGTAGACACGGTGTTAGGAATCGTTATTTGTTTTCCGTGCCTTATAAG